ATACCACTGCAAACATTTCGTGTTCTTGTACGAAAATAAAGTAGCGCCTGCATGTTGGTTGTTTCTCCCGAGACTTATTTTTCTCGTTTCTCGCTCTCTCCACTTTACCATTTCCTTCTTCATCTTTCGTTCCCTTTTGTTCTTCGAGAGGAAATAATAAAATGCAGAGAGTTAAAAGAAAAGAAAAAAAAGGAAATGAAGAGGAGATGGGTAAAGTGCGCGATGAATAAATGGGAAACGATAAAGTTGTTTTACGAGTTTCATGAACTTTGATTGTGTCCATAATTTCTGTTGCTCTCTTTTGGGAATTTTCGTTTTTTTTTGTATATTGTTTTTTTTTTATGTTTCTTCTTACATATTCTTTATGTTTCGTTCTTCAGTTGTGGAATCGATCATGCGTGGGGAGAACGTGGGGATCACCTCTCGACGGTCCCGATCCGCCGCCGTCCTGCATCTGCAACAACCTGTAAGTATATTTACCCAATCTCCTCCAAATCCCAAATCACCAAAGGCTGCCCATTCCGTTCAACATCCGAAAACGTGTCGGTCTTTTCAGCACTTTATTTGTTAACTTGTCTTCGAATCCTTACAACTCAATAGAAACTGAAACACATTTATTCAATTCTACGACTTTCCCATTACATAACTTTTTTTTTATTGTTTCACACTATTCGTATTTTGAGACATAATTGTCCATTGCATGTACATATTACTCTTTGCAATAATCATAATAATCATTGGGTATGATAATAGAAGAAATGTGTAGACGAGTATTTGATGTGATTGAAGAGGCAATAAACTCTTTTGCTCTCGTAAAAGTATGGAAACTGAAAGAGAGATAGAGGAAGGTAGACTCTGTGTGCAATCCAATATTAGCATATGAAATTGCGAGAAAGTTGTTCTCTGTGTGTGTGGCACGACGTGGATGAGAGTGTTGTGCCAAAGTGTGGTATTGCACCTACGGACGGTTAGAGATAATTTGGCGTGCGGTTGATGACCTTTCTTTGTCCTCCAAACGACTCAGCGCCGCCGCCGTCATCGTCGCCGTTTACCGTTACACCTGTTAGATTTTATTGAAACAAGAATACCGCTCGAGCGCATGACTCGTTCCTATTTCTTCAGTTAGTTTATGACGAAGGGCGGAATTTGAAAAGGAAATGTTAAATTATCTCTCCCCCTGTTCATGATGATGATGTTGACGATAAAGCGAATCAATAGCTTCCGCATTATTTCGGAAGACAAAAAGGAGGACAGACAGTAACGTCGCTTAGGAAAAATTGCAAAACCGTGTCCTATTTATGGTTCATCACTCTGCAGACGGAGGAAAGCCCGAGCCGCCCCAGAAATAGATTCAGACTGAAAATAAAACAGACTCCGACGTCGCCTTGCTTCTGCCCTCCGTCCGCTCTCCGCCACACCTATCCTCTTGTTTTCTCCACTTCCAGGGATAAATCCAATTTCCAAAACTGAAAGTTTCATTTGGAAACGTACACATACATATAGAAACAGCAAAACTTTCCGGTGGCGGAAACTTCTACGCCAAGTTTAACGGACAACAATTTAACACTCTTTTCCATTCCACTTCGCGTTTTTTTGTTGTTGTTGTTTATTACTCGTTCAACTTCCCCGTCTATTTTAATCTAGGCGATCGATCGCTTTATTACTTTCTCGGAAGCTTTCTCACAAATGGAGTGTTATTGAATATTTCAATAAGGCGTTCACAATTCATGTCCAGTTTATCCAACCGCTGGGACTCTCTCCCACCCATTCCTCCTGTACTCATTTTTTTGTTTGGACACAACACCTCCCCTCCGCGGACGAGTCTGGTTTCCCTTATGTTGAAAAAGAAAGAGAAAAGGCAAAAGGAAAACAACCACCCGGCCTGGAAATAGATTGTTCTAAATTACAGTGCACGAGAAAATGTGAGCACTAAATTACAGTGTGTACGCCTAGTCTCATGCTCCGGACCTAACCTAATTTATTGCAGAAACTCATAAAAAAGGCAACAGCACTCGAGCGCTCATCGATCCCAGATCGATTGATGTCCACGCTAATTTCCGAATACCTCTATAAATTTATTATCGGCGAATTCTTTCCTTCAATCTTCCCTCCAACCATCATCGCCACCACCCTTCAGCGATGGGGAAATTCTCGGAAACAAAATTATTAGTTGGCAAAGTTCCGGGGATTCCAGCGAACTTCTGGTATGAGGGTGAGGATGAGTATGCACGACGTTCATCTACTAAGTACATCGGTTAAAACGTAAAATTGATTTCCATTTGCGTTTGCGAAACTTAATGCGAAGACACGGAAGAATCTTGTCTCGAGCACGGAAGTATAGTTTTAAAGGATGCAGAGCGGATTCTGCATGCATGTATGACTAATGTGGTCGGGGGAACGACTTTCTCGTGTCTCGGGGAAAAATAAACCGAATCAAAGACCGAGTAAAAATGATTCAGACAGAATCAAGCATAAAATGGATTCGATTTACGAGTGGAAAAGTCCGTGTCCGTCGTATGGACTCAACCATGAAAGCAAATGATGTAAATCAAATAACTGAATAACAATAATCATAGATCTTCTAATTCTTTGAAAAGTGTATTAGAAAGGATTTACTGCAAACAACAATAAAATTATATGTTTATAATAGTACATATGTGATTCACATGCATTGGATTTTAGACTCTAGAGTGATTCATGTTTTTTTTTCAATCAATTTATGTTTGTTATTTATTCAAGGTAAAACGCTTTATACTTTAAAAAAATATGGAATTATTTAAAATGTATTTATAACAAAAGTTACATAATTTATATGTTGGACACAAAATGCAAAAAATAACAACAGTTCAACGATATTATCAAATATTTCTCAACTGGATCTAAGCAATTTGGATATTCGCTCGGAATTGGAAGCAGGGCTTTACCAATGAGGAAATACTTTCTTTTAATTAAAACTTGTATTTTATAGCTTTGTGTAACTTGTTTTTATTGTTGATTCCCAGTGCAATGCATAAATTTAATTCTTCATGTAATGTAGGTCAAAAGTAAACTATTTCTTAATTGAATTGTTATATTTTTTTTTATATAAACTGGTTTTAATGGAATCAGCAAATACCTTAAATTAGTACCAAAACGTGGTCATATCAAAATAACGCAGGACGACTTTAGGCTTGAATAATAGCAGTAAAATAAGCCTCTTATGTGCGGTCAATGCGATCTCCAAAGTTATTTCCTCGCTATCGATTGAGAACACCTTTGGTTTCGCCGAAGTCCAAAATGGAAATGGCTCAGAAACTAGATCAGTTAAAATATAAATAATGTGCATACGGTTTCCGTTTGCCTCAATTCAGTTCACGTTCGGAATTGTAAATTTTATAATTTCGCTTCTATTAAAGAGTGTTCGCAATTTCGAGCTGCAAATCGCACGCATATGCTAATTGCGGATTCGCTAATTACGCAACTATTTCCGAGGCGCGCGGCCGGAAATTCCGCAGTTCCTTTTACGAAACGATCAATTAAAGAAAGACCATTATTCATATTGCTGTAGGTCAGTAAACCCGACGAACCGCGTATGAATTACGCCGTGTTTCGTGTGAGTAACCCGCAGTGAATAATCCCTGTTGTTCTTTTCTTCTTGTTTATTTATTTATTTTTTATTTTTCCATCTCGTTTCATCCACTCTTCGTCCTCTCTTTACTTAATTATGTTCGCTGCATGATTCGTAACTAGAGAACAGAATGTACAGTTCCACTGCCAACGGGAGAACAAAAAGGAAACAATTGAATCCTTGAGCATGTTACAGTTGTTCTTTTTTTTCAGTAATTTTATATTTTTAGGCTACAGCAGCAAAACTTATTTATGTCGCGGATAATTGTTTCCTTTTTCAACTCTCTGCGACACGGAATCTTCTAATTCACTTTAATTCCCTCATTTGTACCTTTCGAAACAAGCTTTGTTCATTACCCAAATACTTTTTAAACTCTTCACTGATTATATCTAAAAGCGTTTTCATCAATATTTTACATATTCTCATTCTGTAACGCTGTCACATTTAGGTTTGACTAGACGCCATCTATTATTATAATTTTTAATTTCATTGAAAAGAATAAGTTGAATAGTTGTCAAATTTCAACAAATCATGTATTTTTTTTTTTCAATTTAGCAACAATAGTTTTTAATTCAAAACAGGTTTAACTGTAATAGAAAAACAGTGATATTTTAAACTAAATTCTGTGGAGTGTTTATTCGAATGTTCTGCGACACGGAATCTTCTAATTCACTTTAATTTCCTTATTTGTCTCTTCACTGATTATATCTAATAGCGTTTTCATCAATATTTTACATATTCTCATTCTGTAACGCTGTCACATTTAGGTTTGACTAGACGCCATCTATTATTATCATTTTTAATTTCATTGAAAAGAATAAGTTGAAGAGTTGTCAAATTTCAACAAATTTCAAATAAATGTTTTCAATTTAGCAACAATAGTTTTCAATTCAAAACAGTTTTAACTATAATAGAAAAACAGTGATATTTTAAACTAAATTCTGTGGAGTGTTTATATGAATGTAAATAAATTTTAAAACAAAATTTTATATTGTTGTTTTACAATACAACAATAAAGTAAATGTTGCAATTGAAAACAGATTTAACTTTAATAGAAAAACAGTGATATTTAAACTGTACATTGTTGAGTGTGCATTTGGATGTTCCACAAATTTTAAATAACAATTTTATATTATTGTTTGTTTTGAAATACGTTCAAATCGATTGACTTTTTATTTTGAAACGTTTAAGCTTGAAATGTCATGTAGTAAATGTGGTAAGAAGTTTGAGTAATATAAATTACTCAAGAGTGTATAGTATTTCTGTGAAGGATTTGCATAATAATTCGGAATTTGAAATGGTTTTGTCGGGTTCGGTAAAATCTGTAGAATGGGTTAAAATGTAATTAAATTAAATTCAGCAAATGAACCTATAGTATCCACTTCGATTTACATATTCATGTTTTGCGAGGAGCATATGAAATGTAGAGATAATTAAATTGTTTGCGTCTGGAGGAAGGAATTGATTTGGGAACGTGAACGCGCGTCTTTATTGTTTTCATCAATCCCCCATTTTCAGAATGCGTCGGCGGTTATAAAATCAAAGGGAAAGGGAATGTTGATGATTTTAATTTGATGAATTGTTTTTTTTAGAAAAGGGTGTAATGTAATCGGTGAGCGCAATCGATATCTGGGGCGGAAGGTTTCAAGTGAGCTTTGGGAAGCGCGTGGGTTTTCGTATGGTTGATGGGAAGAGGAGGGAGGAAAAGGGAAAGGGCGACGACGTGCTTCGTCCCACTCGGAAAGGGCGGAAAAGGGGAGCGGGCGCACATCGCACACACGCAACATCGTGCAACTTAACATTTGGTCCAGTTCTTGGTAATAGCCGATGAAAGTACATGCATCGCGTAATATCGAGGAAAACTGGATGGTAAATACACAGGAGAGAGCGAATCCGGCGGCTGCGCCCATGACTTGCCCAGCCCTGGCGCGCTGCACTCCGCCCCAGACTTCTCCGACTGCTCGAACCTCTGGATGTGTGGATGTGCTCTTTGTTACGCGCCGTGGATTTTACCGACTAACATTTTCTATACATCAACAAAACAAAAATTAAAAAAAAAAACTTTTTCTCAAACAAATAAATTAAACAACAATCCGCGCCATCAAGAGAAGGATACCTTCACTCTATGCCCCTTTTTGGATACTTTGGATATGGTTCTTTAAACTTGACATTGCTCTCAGTGCCTATTGAGAATCAGTGCTCTCTCTCACTCTATAACTATCTGTAATTAGTGATTTGATTGATTGGTGATTGAAGCGAAGTGATTAGGAGGAAAGCTTTAGGTAATTTCACTAGATTACAAAGACCTCCTGAACTTAAAAAGAAACACAACAACATAAACTCGTTTTCTCATTAGCTTCATAATACACTCACTGCAAGCAGAGACATTTTAAAAACCATTTACATTCATTTCCTGTGACTATATTTACACGTCCATCAAAATTCACTCTTTAATCATACAACTGTGGTTTTACGGTCCCCGCGGTTTTCCAACAACGGAATAATGAACGAAACCAGAAAAAAAAATTAAGAAGCAAAAACAAGACCAGAAGAACACATACAACAACCCATACACATGTCCGAGTAAATAAGATAACCGGTTCCCAGGTGGTTCCCTCCGTACCTATATTTATTTGTCGGCTCCGGCTCATTACGTTGGATGGAGAGCGAGAATGGCCATTTCGCAAACTCTTTTTGAACAGGTTTTGTTGGAACCGGACTTACCTGCCACACACAATAATAACCTTGGAACAACAAAAGCCCATAAATCAGATGTGCGGCGAAGAAACAACAACAACAACAACGGCAATAGCAGTGGTAGAAGAATGAGAAGAGAAAAAAAAGCTGCAAATTCTTCACGCATTTTTCGATTTACATCATTTCTTTGACCTTAAGTTTTTTTTTTTTGATCGGAATACGCTTGCTCCCACCCCTAATTGAATGAATACTGTTTGTTTTTTTTTTATAATTTTATTTTCGACTTTTTGTTTTGTTTCTCTCTTTTCGCAGACCCGCGTCGTTCGGGTGAATCCAAGTGTGAGGAAACCGCGCACCGGAAAACCGGGCGAATCGATCCCGCAAACATCGCCAGAACCACCAGACAAAGGTGAGTCCGACAACCCAAAAAAAAGCACATACACATGATGCCCTTTCACTTATTTATTTACTCATCCTTCATGTCTACTACTAGTTTGAACGATAACATCCATCAGATAAAAAAAAACTTAAAACTTTATACAAATACACAATTCTTCATATCCTTAACTACTCTCGAAGATGACAATCATCATTAACCAATAAAACAAGTATAAAGTTTCATAATAAAATTTGATTTGTCTTTTAATATCCAAATTCAATAACCATTTTTTTATTATATTTTCTACGAAGATTAAACTATGAAACTTTATGAAAAAAATCATTATGAACATCATTTTTGACTATGATAATTGTCAATCATATATATAAACTATGAAATTAATAAAAAAAAACTTCCTAGTTTGCTTATCTTCCGGTATATAGAGTATAAGGTTTTTAATTGAGCGGAAAATAACTTTTTTGTGTAGGTAATCTACGGACATTAAAATGCAAAAGTTTTAACTGGAACACCGAAATTTACTTCTCTTCCAGGGGAAACTTCCAAGCAATTGCAGCAATCAAGTGCTTAAGAACTAAGTTTATCTAATGGCCTTCAAATTAAAACACGAACTCTAAATCTGTGTTAAATATTACCTATTTTGATACAAAGTTCAGTTCATAAGGTTTCAATATTTCAATTTAAGACTTTTTATATTTTGTTATTATTAACAAATTAAATAACAATTGACGTTGAATATTTAGAAGAAAAAAAATGTAATTTGTAAAATAAATTGTGATTCTAATGGTACCCAATGGGGTAATCTGACTTTAACAAACTTAGCATAAACTTATTGCCGTATTCATTGAATTCTTACGTTTCGAGGAGATTTGTAATCCTTCTTTTGGTGACAATTAAAATTGATTTGTGATTCTTGTGACTCGACCATTTGTCACTTGGCATCAACAAACATTTGCAACAATCGTTGTATTTTCTCAGAAGAATTTCAACATTCTTTCAAATGTAGACGACAATTAAAATTGAATGGTGATTCCAATGTTGCGGTATGTCAGTAATCTTGGCATCAACAAAACCGAGAGCATCAATGTATTCGAAAAAAAATAATAGTAATGAATAATGGCTTCTTTGATTATTTATTTTGGCATCAATAACATTGAAACTTTGACCTGCGCTGCATTTTGGATGATGATGATGAACTGATGCGACGATGTATCATGCGAAAGAGAGAATGAAAGAGGGACGAGCGTAAAATGCAATTTCCCAGAATAACTTTTATGTATGTTAAGCCAACCGTTTGTGTATGTATATATGTTCATGCATGTACGTCTATCTGCGTCAATGTGTGAGAGAGTTTGTACATAGCCTGGGCCTCGGATTATTTACATGTTCCGAAACAACTTTGCGCGATTCCTAAACAAAGCACGAGAGAGAAAAAAAAAACAAGTAATGTAACAAGAAATAAACGAAAATAACGAAAACAAGAGGAGCTACATTTTCCGAAAATGTATTTTTAACCCGTCGTATTTCCATTCTAATTTTTCTCCCATTTATTTCACTCTATCCTCATATTTTTTTTTGTCTCTCTCTCGATTCAATCCCGAACGCCAGATGTTGACACTGTAGGAGGCGGCAGGTTGGATCTCCCCACGTACCGCTTTTATTCTCAGTTTAGGCGCCCTTTCAGCATTCCACGACCCTTTTCCTATCTCTCTCCATCACACAAACACATATATCTCAGCTTCTATCCTTCTCCGACATCTCCTTTCAACCCTTCGCATAATCTGATTTTTTTTTCCCCGAAATTCTGGTTGTTTTGATACAGTAATCCTTTTCGGGCTTTGGCCCAATTTGCCAGCTCTTGCATAATCTTAATCTCCCCATTAAGATACGAATCGGATGTTAACTTAATGTTTGATCTACACATAATTAATCCTTCCTGATCAATTCCAAATTCGAATTAAGTTATTCCACATTTCTCTCTGTCAATGAGCAAACACTTATTATCGAGAATTACTATGCATGTTTAGCAGGATACGTTTAATGGATGCATTAAGACGCAGGGCACGTCCTGCGATCGATTAAAGCAGAAGTCTGGATTGCGAGGATGTTTATGATTTGAATCGATTCCATTAAATGTTTGTTGCGAAAACTCGTTCTGCCACCACGACTCAATTAAATCAAAATGATGAACGAAGAAGTAGAAGATGAGAAAAAAAATATATATATAACGAATCTTTGATGTTCGTCGTACGTTTATGGTCCTTCAATTAAAATTAAATTGCCGGAGCGGTAACAGGCATGTCCTTTTATGAAAATTAATTTCCTTTTATCGATGATTAAAATTAGACTTCCGACGGTCGTCTTTCGGTTTCGTTTAAATTGCGAGAGGTGAAAGCACGTTTCATCAATTACTACTACCCGAATCTCTTCGATCTCACTCTGTGTACGCTTCGAGTCTGCAATATAAATGACCTGAAATAACCTTTACATCGTACATTTTCAGTTTTAACAATTAACGTTTCACATGATACAATCTCAATTGAACCGTAATTTTGTAATATTCTCATTTAATTTTGATATTAAAAAATCGAAGTAGTCTTTGTATAATACGCACACAAGTTTCAATGAGTACAAATTGTTGGTACGGTCTATTAAAATTGCTTGAAATACAATGAGGTGTTGTTTTGTGTTTCCGATGTTGTCGTCTGAGAAATAATGAAACTGCGTTCACGCCCAAACCGTGTCCTTTCAGATGAAACGGGAAACGAGATGCAATTGGGTTACATCAATTCCAATGCATTAAAGCTTTGCAGTTCTTAAGTGGTTTCCCCCTCGCGATCCATAAACGTTTGATCGAATCATCACCAAATTGGTCTCAGTCGGGATGTTGATGGTCGGGTCCGCTGCGTGGGGGACGGAATTCCAACTCAGAGTGCGATAGTGTGTGTGAGAGATAGAGAAGGAAGAGACAGCATCCTGACCGTAACCGATTCGAAGTCATTTAATAATAAAAGGAGCGGAGTGAGAGAGCCGTAAACTATCCTTATTGAATCCCGAACTTTTCTGAGTATATTTCCGAACCTCTCCCAAGTTCACCAATAACCAAAGAGAACGATAGTAGTAAGCAAACAAGAAGAAAGAAAAGAAAAAAAAATGGAAGAGAATAGAATGATGTATGTGTGTTTGGCATTACGCAATCTGAAACTGGGTTAAGCTATTCTGTTGTCACAGTAATATATAATGGAAAAATGTTCTTGTTGCTCGTTGGCCTTCCTCCGCGCCGAACCGAAAGGTCAACGACCCGGGATCTTTCTCTCTCGCCCTCTCTTTTACAAACTCTCTTTCTCTCTCTCTCTCGCAATTCATCATCATCTTGCGTTTACGATCTGGCCAGCCACTCGGCTGTTAATGTAATAACAATGCGATAGAGTTTTGTATCGGCTAATCCGTTGCAGGCAGGCAGGCATTCCGATCAATTTGTTATTGTTCCATCCGTCCGGCTGCGATATACCGTGCCCGAAGATTGATGATGATGATGAGGATGATGATGCAAAAGTTGCAATATTTTTATCAGCCAATTTGAGGCTAATGCAATTACGCGAAATTGTGAGCATCGCTGCTGTAGCTAAAATAGAAAACATCTTTATGGCTTCTCCGCTTCGCAAGGCCAGCAAATGGCCGTTTAACTGTCTCAAGGGAAATTGCTATCCTCTTCTATCGCTCGTTCTCCTCGTACAACCTTTGTTTGCTGGAATTGTGTCAAAGATTTATTGACGGTTTATTTCTTTTATCACTGACATATCTTCTGCTCCTTCTGATTCACCGGTATTTCGTAGAGTATTGCGATGGAGGAAATGATATTGTTTAGGGTCAAGGAGAAAACCTTGCTGCTGCATCTATACTTATTCAATGATTGCAGTGCAAATGATAAGTGGATGATGCTTTACTATTTTATTTCATCAATTCAAGCTCGAGTTCCCTCCAATCTTCGAAACCGTTCAACATTTAACCTCGAGGCTTTTTCCTGTTTTCCATCCCAAATTGATGCTTCATTCAGTTATCTTCAATAATTCTGATTAATGGTTTACGCAGTAAGCAACTAAACGTGAATTTCCTCATTTTGAAAAACTAACAAAAAAAATAACATGCTTATTTTCGTTTTGGGTACTTTTCCCAACCAAATTTATGGCATTGTCACTTTGTGTACCGAGCAACACTCTTACATTAAACCATAAACTGAGTTTAAATAGATTATGAAGGTTTTTGGTGAATTCACTCTCTTTCTGGTTTGCGCATTAAAACCGGTCCGTTTCCTTTCCAGGTACTTTTTGCTTTTTCTTTTCTTTTGTCAATAACCAACATCTTTTCAATAAGATACAAATCCGAATCTAAATAGTGTTTCGTAATTTCTTCTTTCAACCAACTTTTTTTTGCATACAAACTTCTTTCCTTTGTAAGATTCGATAAATCCAGGAATTGTCTTTCTTGGTTTTCACATTGCAACTGCAGAAATTAGACTGTTACGAATTGCGTTTTTTTTTTATAAATAGTTCTTTCTCTGTTGGAATTTCTAAGTGACTTAAATCAATGCTTCAATATTAGTTTAAAATATTTTTAGTTAATAAGTTTTTTCTCTCTTAAATATAATAAGAAATGCGTTTGTAACATTGAATGTTCCAACTTAATTTAAAGTTGACAGCAGAAATTCCAAATTCGATTAGTCTTAGTTAATGATTTTCTCTCGCTCCTTGTGGTGATGTCCTTAAAATATCCCGGAGGAGGTGTTTGACGAGACGCATCCGGAATACGGATTAGGTTCGTCCTAGAGAGTTTGGCCGGGGACGTCGAAGTTTCGTCGACTTTGACAAAACGTAAATAGAAGAAAGAAAAAGCGCGTAAAAAATGCCGCTGGGAAATGCGAGAATCAATAAAATTAGAATCGCTCCTTTGGCACACGGTCTTAATGAACACATTCTAAACTCGTGCGTGACACAGTCTGATCTTCTCTCTCT